CCCCAAAACCCCAAAACCCCAAAACCCCAAAACCCCATATGATAAAATGCTGTAATATTTTAATAATAAATATAATAACTTTAAATATGTTGAGCTAGAATCTCTTGAAGACATCATCAAGTCTCCTTTCCACCAACGCCACTTTCCTCAACAAAATGCTGGCAGCTTCTCCAGTTCAAGCAAGAGCCTTCTCAGTTGCATTCAACATCAAGTCAAAGTTCGAAGCCGCATTCGAGAAGAAGCAATAAGCTGCAGGCAAAACAGTGAGAAAAGAGTATTATTGATATATTCTTGATTAATCATTTATAGCCCAGAGCCAAACAACAAGGCTGAATATGGTCAAGGTTACTATCAATAAAACCTTAAGAACATGAGACAAGGCTACGTTCACCCATATCACAGTGAGAAATACCCACTGATTCACTCTCAATTCCATTATCTCAAGACCTTATTCGAGGCTGTTGGTCCAGAGCAAGTCTCACCTCATTATGAATCTCTTTCAAGAAGCAGAAGAGGTCTCTTATTCTTGTTCTTCTATATTGGAACAATCAATACCGTCTCCAGATTCGGAGGATGGTCACATAATGAATGGATAAGAGCTATGATCTGGCATCATGAATATTTGATTGCTTTCTATCTCGGATATCTCGAGACTAGACATTTCACTTACTTCCTTGGTCCAAAGTTCACCACCTTCTATAATGTCTATACCAGATACGAGACCCAGCAACTCTGCTCAATGTGGGCAGATCAAGCTGAGGAAGAACAACTCAGATTTTTAAGACACACTAAGGAGCAACTCGAGTATGTTAGAATTAATGCTGAATACGATTACGTTAAGAAGAGAGCTTTGATTAACTATTTAACCAATGAGAAGTTGAATCTTGAGCTCCACTTCCATAACAGAACTCTTAACATGCTTAGGTCAATCTAAAACTATGAAAACTAAAACTTAAGAAATCACTTAAGAGAGATCGTCTTGGGATCATTCGACAAAGTTTAATAATCATTGAAAGATTAAACTACTAGAAAATAAATCCAATAGTAAGCATTCCAAGCTGCTCTTAGCGGAATCCAAAGTGGAGTAATGAAATACGATAATGATCCACTTCTCCCAATTCTTCAAAATGAGATGTAATCAAGAATAGCTCACTTCAAGGGACTCACACCAGAGGAGGAGAGCAAGTTATTGAGTTTAAATCAAGACTAGAAGAGATCCATCGCTGATTTCGATAGAAAGTAAGTTACACTTCTAAGTTAATCTAATAATCAATTATAGGGCTAAAGAGGATTATCTCCACGCTTCTGCTTCAGTCAACGTTCCAGGCCGCAAGAAATGATACGAGAACATAGAGATTAGCAATAATTTAGTTTCTCGTTTATTTAACAAATATTTAATATCTTTTTACAAATGCCAATCTATTTTAAATACCGGGGTTTTGGGGTTTTGGGGTTTTGGGGTTTTGGGG